CTTAGGAAGTGGTTTTACTCTGCTGTGTAGGGTTAGGGTTAGGGTTGGAACCCTTAGAAAGCGGCTCTACTCTGGTGTGTAGGGTTAGGGTTAGGGGTGGAACCCTTAGGAAGTGGTTTTACTCTGCTGTGTAGGGCCGCTGTGAGACAGAAGTTCGTCAGCAACAACCAGTGTGGTTTGATTTGGATTCTTTGGTTAAGTTGGGTTGGAGTGGAATGGGATAGGTTTGGATTGGTCGGGTGGGGTAGGTTGATTGGAATATGGGTTTGGTTGGGTTTTGGGGTTGGAGTGGGCAGGATGGGTTGCCTTGAGTTGGATTGTTGGATTGTGTTGTTTTCGTTGCTTGGTTAGGTTGGGGTGGGGTATGGTGGGATAGATTTGTTTGGGTCAGGTTGGATTGGGTTGGTGGGGTGGGTAGTAGGGTGGGATGGGGTAGATTTGTTTGGGTTAGGTTAAGTTGAGTTGGGTTGTCAGGGTGGGGAGGGGTGGGTGGGTTGGTTGGGTGGTTGGTTGGATATGGGGTGGAGTGTTTGCCTGGGTACCGTCCTTCCCTGGAGCTGGCATGTCTGGGGGAGGACATAGGGTGAACGTGTTTACCCTCACCCCAGGTAGTCGGGCATGTCACCTGCTCTAACGTGTGTGTGCCCCTCGGTGCATGAGGGGACCCATGACCCGTGTCCAAGCCTCCCCACTCTATGGGCTTCAAGTGTACCTTGTCCAGAGCTTGAGTGCTGGGCTCCTCCTGGAGGTGGCAGTGTACACACACCCCAGTACTAGTAAGGACCAGTTCCTTCCGAGTGCCTCCCCACCTCCCACAGCGTGAGGAGAATGCCTTTCCCGTCTGTCTCGTCTTCTCTTTCTCACACTGCCATCAAGTCCGTTCCAACTCTGCGATCCTCTGTAGGACTTCTGAGGCTACATCTGACTGGGGCAGACAGCCTCATCTATCTTCTGTGGAGTGGCTAGTGGCTTTGAACCGCAGACTGTGCCGCCCAACGCCTCACCCACAGCGCCACCGGCTCTTGGTCTTCTGGTGCCGCTGTACCATGTGCCACACGGGGGTGGCTCTAACAAACAGAAATTTACTTTCTCACCATTTAGGAGGCTGGAAGCCCAAACCCAGGGCACGTGCTCTCTCTGTGGGCTCTGGGGAAGGTCTTCGTCTCCCTTCTGCCTCCCCCTCCCGTTTTCATCTCTAAAGAGATTGACTGGAGGCTAAGCCTACACTCATCGTGTCTCATTCACATCATGAAACACGTTCCAACGGAGACTGTAGCTCAGCTGTGATGCTGTAGCATCCACACTGGACTGCTAACCACAAGGTCGGTGGTTCAAACCCACCAGCCGCTCCTTGGAAACGCTCTTCAGGGTTGTTATTAGTCAGGACCGACTCGACACGGCACTTAGCAACAACTAGAAGTCTGGGTGTTGACAGGCTGATACTTGATCCGAGAGGTTTCTTTTTGACTTCACTGTGAAAATACATGTACCACGCATTGGACATACCAGCAACCTAACGCAGCCATATCAGTTACGTTCGTCGCTTGGTACAAACATCAGCCTTGGTGGTTGCCAGGCTTCCCATCCTGTGACAGAAACTTTTTCTAGCCGTTCTCCTGATTCCGTGAGGTGTTGGGTCCATTCAAGAAATGAGGGTTTTTTAAATTTCTTGCACTGTTTTCATTCCTTGTCATCTTGTCTAAAACTGTTTGGGGGGGTGTGGGATTCTCTGTTCCTTAAATGCCACCCCCCAACACACATTCCCTCAGCGAGTCTGCTGTCTTTTCGAGAGCAAGCTTTTCTTTATTTTGTTGTTTTTAATGAATAATTTACCAACTGTTACTAGGGCTCCCTATTTCTTGCATGGGGGTCAAAATCCTTTATATTCCTTCTGAAGTGAGTTTTGCATAATTTAGCTTTTCATTGTCTCCATCTAGATTTTTTTAAATCCATGATCTGTCTGGTGGCCTAACGGTTAAGCTGTTAAGCGCTTCGATGTTAAGTGGAAGGTGGTGGTTCGAGTCCATCAGTCCTCTGCAGGACAGAGACCAATGGTGGGCAGTTCTACGTGGTCACATGACGTCTCTGAGTCAGAATTGATTCCCATGTGACCCTTTCTCCTCACTGTTTATTTCTGTCTTTCCTTGCTTCGTGCTGGAAAGCCTCTTGACCTGCTTCCTTCAGATAAGTATCTTGGAGCTTTATGACTCGCTTTTGTAATTCTTATTTTATAATCTTTTTAATGAAATTTCTGCTCTCATTTTTATTATTCCGTATGTGCTCTTTTTCCTCCCTTCTATTTAGTCTGTCATTCTTTTCTAGCCTCTTGGGTTGAAGTCTATTCTCCCCATCCCCCACCCACCCCCCGCTTTGGGTCAGTTTTTATTGAGATATGATTCACACATGACAAGCTGCATTAACTGTAAATATGTACTTTTAAGAAAAGTGTACCTCTGTCCTGTCATGCTGTTGGAGTTGTTGTTAAGTGCCGTCAAGTCAGTTCTGACTCGTTGTTGTGATTGTGTACTGCTATGGAGTCTGTTCCGAATCACAGTGGTCCTGTCTAGGGTTTCCAAGGAGCGACTGGGGGGTTTGAAACGCTGTCCTTGCGGCCCAGTGCTTCTATTACAGAGCCACCCCGAGACTCCTAGTGACGCGGTGTAGCGTTTCTGGAGAGCAGTTGGTGGGTTTCAGTCCACAGTGTCACACCGAGTGTGATATGAGACGTTTGATCCGCTCCCCCATTCTCCCTGTGCTCTGGGCAGTCAGCCCCGTCCTGGACCCATTCACACATCTGCTTTCCGTTGGTGTACTCTCACCTCTTCCAGAAATCCTGGGGCCATAGTTTTCTTAAATGTTTGGTAGAATTACCAGTGATACAGTGGCACTGGCGATTTCTCCGTGGAAAGGTTTCTAGTTACAATGTCTGTATTCGAGACAAGTTATTTACATTTTGTGGCGTGAGCTCTGGTACTCTGTGTCTCTCAAAGTGTTTGTACAGTTCGTCTACATTGTGGGATTTAATGGCACTCAGTGTGTATGGGGTGTGTTGGTTTCTCTGTAATGTCTGTAGGATCTGCAACGAAGCCCGCCTCTGTCATTTCTGACATCGGCATTTGGGTCTTGTCGCTTTTATCCCTAACTGCTTTGTTCAGAAGCTTCAATTGTGTGCCCCGAAATCCCAAGGACCGGCGGCGTTTGGTTTCACTGGTTTTTCTCTCCTGCTAACGGTTGTGTTGGTATCTGATCTTTTTCGTCCCTTTTGGTTGTAACCATATTCATATTTGCCTTTTGCTTTCTCCTCGGCCCAGGTAGTTCGTTGGGATTTTGTCACTTAATTTAAAGAACCTGCAGGTCTTGGAGACATCTTTGTGACTGATTTTTAATTCCATTGTGATCGGGAAGTATCGTTGTAAGATTTGAGTTCTTATAAACAGAGACTGGTCGTAGTAACTGGGGCTGAAGGAGAACCCTTCTCCTCTTGCATGTCTGTGAAGGCCAGGTCACGCAATTGCTTGGATTGTTGTTAAAGTACGTCGAGTCGCTTCTGACTCATAGGACCCTGTGTAGGGTTTCCCCAGGAGCGGCTGTTCAGTTTGAACTGATGACTTTGTGGTTGAAAATGACCGCATGGCCCAGAGCTTTACCCGGCAGCAGCACCATACCGCTTTCTGATCTTTGCATCAGCACTGGACTGAGAACCACAAGGTCGGCAGTTCAAACCCAGCATCCTCTCCTCAGAAAGCCTACACAGGGTCGCTGTGGCTTGGAACTGACCCAATGCCACGTAACAGCAACAGCAGCAATTTCCTTCACGTACAGGCCTGGGGTGCCGGTTCTGCTCCAGACCCTGGCTGCCTGGACGCTTATGTTGACGCTGCGCTGAGTCAGCTGTGTGTGTTGTAGCAATGTGAAAGGGTTAGGGACACTGTGAGAACTGCCAAGATGGGACGCAAAGT